CCTTACCTCTTGTTGATCAGTTAGCTCTGGAAGCGGCTGCTTATATCAGAAGAGGGAATGTCATTAGCGAGCGGCTTTGTGGGTCGGCGTCATGGCGCGGCGCTTCCAGCTGTGCGGAGCTTGAAAGGCTATTTCTATCTGTTCCACGAGCAGTCATTCTCCTAATTAGAGCGAGGCGGATAATGAGCTGTGTGGCCGTCTGCCTCCTTCCTAATGCTGAAGCCGAGAGCCGCCATTTACCTTCACCCGCTGGGAAGGGGTAATGGGCTCGGCCGCGGCCCGTCGGGGGACGATGAAATATTTCATGCGTTTTTTTTTTCCTCCTTCCTGCAAACCTGACTGAACTCCATGGACCTTATTTCGCAGAGCTGTGAAGGAAGAACTAAGCTTGTCGCGCTAGCAACCAATCAAATCGTCACGTTCGTTTTTGGTACTACGCTGGGAAGATGGAAGGGCAAATCTGAGCGGCTCTCCCTTCTTCCATTGCATTCACCGTGGTGTCGCTGTCGGGATTTGTCGTGCAGGTTTTGGGGCGATCGGAGCGGCAGAATACTTTGTGACCGCACATTCAGTCCTGTGATGGTAAACGCACCTGAAGACATGCGCAGTCTTAGAGATCATCTCCTGGCCATGGGTGCCATTCCTCCCCCTGCTATCCAGATACAAGCAGGCTGCACGTCAGCCATTTCTTTTTCTTGCTCTCTAACAAGCTTTATTGCAAGTGGTTCAAACTTACAAAGCCCATTGCACACCGCCGGACCCTCTTCTTGTCCCTCGTGCGTTCCTCATGTCCTTCATGGCTAAGCCCCCGTTGGGTAGAAACACATTGAAGGAGTAGTAGAGGGTCTGGCGGTGAGCGATGAGGCCCCCCCAGTCTGGTTTTGTGAGTTTGCACTACTTGCAATAAAGCTTGTTTAAAGAAAAAAAAAAGCAGACGTGTTTGTAAGTTTTTGTCTTTGCAGAGTTTGGAATTTCTTCTGCAATTCTAACCACAAATCTCTTCTTTTTTTTTTTCTTCTCCTCAGGAGACAAAGATGGCAGCAAAGTTACCACTGTAGTAGCCACCCCGGGCCAGGGTCCCGACCGGCAGCAAGAGGTCAGCTACACGGACACCAAGGTGATCGGGAACGGCTCCTTCGGTGTGGTCTATCAGGCCAAACTGTGCGACTCAGGGGAACTGGTGGCAATCAAAAAGGTTCTGCAGGACAAACGGTTCAAGGTGAGTGCAGAGAGCGATTGTGTTCTCCTCTATTGTCCCGATACAGGTGAAGCCGGGTACCCGGCGCGTCCTGGAACAATGTTTCATGTTTTTGGCTCAATGTTGCATTATTTGTCCACCCCTGTCTGAAGTGCAGACAGTCAGGAGTGCAGACAGTCAGAGGAGCACATACCCGAAGCCGCTTCCTAAACCTTCCTCTTATGGCCAAATCCCGGCAAAGCTCTGCCAGTTGCAGTTCCAGCTGCTAAGCACAGCACCCTGTACATTCCTATAGGCCAGTGGTGGCAAACCTCGGCACTCCAGCTGTTTTGGAACTACAAGTCCCATTAGGCATTGCAAGGCTCTGACAGCCACAGACATAACTCCCAGAGGAAGATGCATGTTGGGATTTGTAGTTTTGGCACAGCTGGAGTGCCAAGGTTCGCCACCACTGCTATAGGCCCATCTCTATAATGTGCTATGGCCAGCAGGAATGGGAAGGAACCGGAAGGGAGCAGGGAAGGTCTGCCTGTCAGAGCGGCCTGGGATTTGGGGTGCTGCTTCTTCCTGCAGCAGTTTTAGATTTTGTTCCCCTGTGCGTGTCAGATCTTCTCCTATCACATTATACTTGTTGGTGACCCGCTGACACCAGGACAGGAAGTGAGGGCGAAAATTAAAGAGCAGGATGGAGGCAGAGAAGTGACGGCGAGATGAGTAAACGTTGGCTAAGGAATATCAATGAATCGCAAGAACTAGAAATCTTTAAAGCAGAACTCCGGGGAAAATTAGTATTAACCCTTGGCGGTGGGGCTACCCCTGCACTGCAAGGGTTAAGAGCTCGCTTTGGTCTAGGGCTGAAAATAACTTATACGTGATGGATCCTCAGAGGCGGCTGGCTGTGACTGTGCTCCCTCCTGCCTGTCTCCTCCTACGCAGTAACGATGGAATGTTCATTGGTGTCCTCACCTCATATACACTGTGATGACTCATGGGACCTTAGACTGATGCC